GAAATTTGAATAGTCACATCTTGGACATGAAATGATGAAACTTAGGGTTTATTAAACAATAAATATCTGTCAATTAACTGCGTTACATATTTAAGCTGAGTATATTTAAGGGCCCCATATTCTTTAAATAGTGTTTTCCGCAAAGACAAATAATTTCAAACATTTAATAACTGAATAATCTAAAGCTTATTAAATAATAGGAATGTTATGTCATGCCACCTGAGTATTTTCAAAGACGCCGCAGTAAAACGAATAAACAGGTGCAAAAAACGATCAAACCATCAAGGTTTTAGGTACTGAAATCTACGAAAATACTAACTTTTTATATATAATTCCACATGTAAATACTCTTATAACATTTACTTGCTTAGTCTTACATATAAAATTGTTTACTTTTATTTATAAGTACGTGAAAATAATTCTTAAAATGTGGGGTTAGGATAACAGCAAACGCATGTTTTACAAACGCTTTTTTTTAGTTATTATTTTATTTGAGTAAATTTAAATGGTAACAATGAATAAACAAAACATCAAGGATTTTATTTTTGTGCTTACTTTTGTTCTACACGTTTTACTTTTAAAGATTTCAGTACCTAAAAACGCCAAATATTTCACTATTTTTCGGCCAGGAATATGGCCTTAACATCGTCCAAATGTTAATTTCCATTACTAAACGGGATCAGTAAAATCAGAACACTAAATAGAATTTTCAAATACCTGTTCGCAGAGCTGCCTAAATCTACTTTTACAAATTTACATCTAGGACTTCCTTTAGCACGACAACCTGTAAATAGACTGCTGGATACATTTGAAGTTATAATACTTATTAATGAGAAATCGTTATTAAGTACATATTTATATTTTACAAATTAAATTATATTTTACGGAAGTTTCAGAAATTTTCCTTAACATGATGCAAAAATATACAGCAAATGTTTTGTATAACAAAAAATTAAGAACATTTTCTCTTCAGCTCGATTTTTAAACAGGAAAATTTGTATTCCGTGGAGCTAGGTCTAATTTAATCCAGTTTTTTTCGTTTGCAGGATTCAGAGATATGGTAATTAAGCTCGAGCAGCATATAACCAGGGCGAGTATATACAAGGTGTTTAAAAAAAATAAGAGCAGGTTTTATTCTTTGCAGGAATCAAGTCAGCAGGTACCAAAAATTAAAAAAGATGTTTTATCATGAAAATAAATTACTTAACACAAAAAAATCTATGAACGTAAGTCCAGAAAGTTTTAGTATTTTAGAACAAACTAACCTGTTAAGTGCATTTAATATTGCTCATGATAAATATGTTCAATGAGTCCGTCTGAAATCTAATTTTACATTTATTTAACAGTTAAAATGAGGTAGTTCTGGTAATAGTGAACTTCCGGTTACGACGTTGGTAGATGAAAATAGAAAATTTAATGTTCAATTGTTGTCCAAATTTTTCTTGACGTAAGTATACCTACATTATGTAATTGTTCCCATAAAATTATTATATTGCACTTTTATATTAGCGTAAATTCATTGTATTGCATTAAATTACAGTATTATAACCTCAAAGAGTTTGTCCAGCATATTTCAACAGCCTGCTAAATTATTTCAAGGGTGTATGATACTAAATCATCTTGATATTAATTATTATTATCATTTTATCTCTAGGATGATTTTTAATAAAACTTGATCCGTTGGATAAACTGATTGATTTTTTGTTGGCTTCATAATGTTCCATGTAAAAACTTAAAAGCAAATTCACATTTTTTGCACGTAATTTAGTATAATATATTGCCGAAGAAACAGTGTGGGTTGTCTGATATAAAAATTATACAGGGTGTAAGAAATTTGACTTCAGCATGAGATAGAGTAATCATAAATGAACAAACAAGTTGTATATTACAGGGGCGTAAGATTAACAGTTTTCAAAATACAGCGAGTATTAATATTTGGGAGTTTAATCACAGCACGTGACAACAGCGCTTAACCTAACGCTACACAGCTGGTGCATACCACGTGTGCACGCGGCAGGCTTGTACAATGGAAGAAATGTAAACAACTATTATTGTGAAACATTTAGTATATTTCAAAACAATTGTTTTCCAGATTTTAAATACATAAAATAAAATGTATCGATTTTGTAGTACGAAGATGTGCTTAAATTTTAGCTCGAATTTTAGTAATTATCATTCTCTTAAAGCAGGAACTTGACTTTTAATCAACCCAAAGATTAAGGTCATCCAAATAATCCTACGTATTAAAAATAATTTAGGTACTTACCAAAAAACAAAATTCGATAATTTTTAAACACACAGTACAAAACAAACTACAACATATGTTTAAAAGTTCCACCACCATTTTCGATGCACGCACGACAGCTTCGAATCCAATTTTCACGCACTCGGTGGAAAACACCTCAAGAAAAGGAAATAGTGGTATGCAAAAAACACTCAGACAGGGTCCATTCCAGATAGCAACTGAATTGCGTATTGCCAGACAGCTTAGTACCTCGTGTTATCCGCCGCGCCGTTGTCACATTGCTCGATATGATATATATTTTATCGAATTTTAATTTATTACAACGCTAATTATTTTTCAGAATTAAGCATAAAGAAGTTTAAAAAAGTTATAAACATTATATTTTATAGTATTCTAGGCACGCAGTTATGTCAATATTCCTTAATTAATCAAACTTTTGTACATCAAGTTGGAGATTTTGATAATTTTTTTCTCGGAAATGGTTGAGTTTAGGACCCATCTCATATAATGTTTTTTTGTTTATTTTAATTTATTCTATCCTCTGTTAAGATTAAGACATTCAAACTTCCAACACCCTGAATATCGTCCTATTTAAAAGATAATTAATAATTGGATTTCATTAAGGTAGATCTTGAAAAAACAATGATATTATACAAATATTTAGCTGGGAGCTACATCTAGTAGTGAATACCCGATTCTAGCTGTATTTAATAATATTAGTACAGTACTTGGTTGTTTCTGGCAAAATCACTAATTGATTACCTACAGTATTTTAGAGTCATTAACGCACATCTTTTGTTTTTTCAATTAAGGTCAGAAATTGCAGAATTATAGCATGCAGTTTGTTTACGAAACACCCAATATGTTTTAGGTATTTAAAAAAAATAATTGTATGAGTTTTGAGATGAGTGGCCTAGTTTACCTATGATGGTTCATTTCTACCGTTGGTTCAACTAACCCGAAATGTTGGGTGAAATGACTACTTGCATTTTTTTAATTATTCGACATCTGTTTCACTTGTAAAAATTATTAATTATTGCCGTAAATACAATACTTACTTACAATACAGTAAATACAAATTGAAATGCATTTTTTAGTAAGAAAAAATATAGAATTTTCAATTACATATTAGAAACACTTTTAGAAAGAAACACATCAAATGAATTTTGTTTGCATTTTAGCACTTATTATTTATGTAGTTATTTTCTTCTCTATTTGTTTGGGTGTTTTTTCCAAATGCGAAAACATTTAAAAATGAGTGAAAAGCCCGCCAAAAAGAATTTAGTCAAAGGTTGTTTTTTTGAAACAATTTTTGCTGAATTGTCAATTTGCCAATTGTTAATTGTTACCTTTTTAAATAAATAAAATAGAAACTATTAGAGAGTGACAACGGAAAATAATTTATTAATGCTTAGCAACGTGTTATTTTAAAGTCACCATACTTTTTTGATATCAATGTGGACAAACCGCTGCTGAATATTAAAAAGTCATTCCACTATCTTTTTTACATGATTTATTAAATATTAACTAATATTGGTGCGTGATACTTTACTAATTTAATAATACCAATTTATGTAATTATTATATCATAATCATTATTTTTGCAACTTAAAAAAATGTACCATAATCTATATAAATCTAAATGAATATACGTACTAATCCGACTGATATTACATATTTTTTTTTTTTAAATCAATTGAAGTTTTTACAGTTAGTATTACTATTTTTTTAAGCAGTGTATGTATTCAATTTGTGAATCTCAGTGTCAATGACCTCTGACATTGACCTATTTTAGGTGATTTATACTACTGTCACTACGTAAAATAAGCCAGGGGTGCACTTAGGAATATTAAAACAGGTAATATTAAAAAATTGTATAATTCTAAAAAAATACGGTGTTTCTGCTCTTTTTTCTTAATCAGCCACTTCAGCAGCCAATCGATGCTAGGGCATATTAAATTAATTAGAAATAAATAAAACAGCAACAAAATTAAGCCGTCAACGGAGGTTAGTCACCGCTGTTCAGTATTACCGCCTCTGAAAAGCCGCTACTGCTAGTTGAATTCACACCTGGTATGATATGACCGAATGGTACTTAAATGTTAAAAAACAAATTTCCATATTAATTCGACGAAACGTGATTGGCCGAATTCGCCATTACCGCTTCATTTTGTCACATTTTTATTTTAATTTTCAGTTATAGGTTTACAAGAAGATGCTTGTGAAGTGTTATTATAAGTGTAAGAGTATAACCTTATAAAATTATGTATTTCAGTGTTTAGTGACGGTAAAGCTTATTTTTGTGTTTTCATTTTCAAGTTTCTGTGTGATAGTATAAAAATGATTCGAGTCTTTTTTTTTGTCAGTAGGAAACGATGCCGTTGCAAGAAGATTTGATTTCAGGTGGATTATCCCGACTGACAAGTACGGAATAAGAAAATGTTCGCAAGATTGAGAAGAACATCGGTTCAAAATTACACTAAAACAGGATTTTGTTAATTGCTGCAGGGATTAAATCTATTTTTGCTAATTTACCGTTTAAGAGGTTGTAGCACCTTTGTAACACATTTTATAGGATATTATTTTAATAATTTTGTTAGCGTCTCAAACTATGTCCATAAATAAATTCCAAACTGGACATCGTAGTCCTATGACAACGTGCACATCATATTAATGATACTTTTTAAATTTAGATATCTTGTAATTTGTTATTTCTTAGTAGATAAACTAGTATTAAAATAAATCAAAGTATTACTTGACAACTCCCCTCCATCCACGTCATAGTAGATATTGTAAGTCATATTTAAATTTAAATTATCTAACTGTCTTCCCCAAATTATTTTCACAGCATTTCCAACACCTGGTGGTACAATAATCTCCAGTATCTCTATACTGATTGGACCTCTGTCACTAGACGCATTCGTGTTTTCTTCCACAGGATTCACGAAATATTGACCAGTGGATGTTTCAACCGTATCTGTAACATATTCGCTTGAGGTTTCCTCGGTGTATGGCACCTAAAACAAGTTAAATTGTCATCAGATAAATTATCTCCAAAATTTTTATATATAGAATAAATTTATTTGTAAGAGTAATAGATAAAAATAATGGCAGGTACATTTATTTAGAAGTTTAGGTAAATATTAATGATTAGGTACGTAGTCCACATACATTTTCTTTTTGTTTTTACAAATATCCCATGTCATACAAGGTGTCCGGAAGCCAGTGGGTCAAACAATCAAAATAAACCAATTTAAATCAAGTTACCTCAGTACTCTCTGCTCTACTACCTACTAAATGTTGCTTAATTCCTTCCTTTGCTTTGCTTTCTAAAAATGTTATGCATTCCCTAAACAAAAATTATATCAATTTTTGTAAGAGAACTCCGTCATTTTAAAGATATTCCAATAAAATTTGACATAGAACTAGCAGTAGATGAATATAGGTTATTTGTTACCTTAAACGTTAAGAACATCAGCCCTTTTAATTTGTTGCCACATTTTCGTGCTAGTAGAGATTTTTGGAAACCGTAGATGGGTGTACTGTAGGTGTAAGTCGTTAAAATAACGAGCGTTCAAATAAAAACGTGGTCAAGTTGGTTCTGAAAATTTGGACGTAGGGCGTAGCGTATAGCAAATGAACTTAAACGTCATCTGTCAAAGCGCTATATCGCCGCTATCAATTTGAATATTTTCGTTTTAAAAAGCGTTTAAAATGGTGTTTTCTCAAGAACAAAAAGTGTTTATCATAGAGTCCTACTTTAGAAATGGACGCAAGATTGATGGAATATGGAAGTATTCTATTGAGGAATGTTTCATAGAATTTCAAAATCAATTTCCCGGCGTTGTTGAGTACAAAATTTTTCAAAGTGCAGTTCAGCGTTGTGTTAATGTTTTTCGTGAAACGGGCAGTGTAACAAGAAAAGAAGGAAGCGGCCGACCTAAAAAGCGGACTGAAGAATTAAAAGAAAATGTCCAACAAATAATGGAAAATGCGCCAAGAACTTCTGTACGTGTTTTATCACAAATGGTGGGAGTATCAGTCGGTACCTGCCACACAGTGTTAAAAAAAGATTTGCGTTTGTTCTCCTATCGTTTAACTTGTCAGCAAGAACTTCATGAAGTTGATTTTCCGCGACGGGCTGTATTTTGTGAATGGTTTTTAAACAACTACGGTGAACTTCATAATATCACCTTTTTTTCTGATGAAGCCTGGTTTCATTTAAGTGGTTACGTAAACTCACAGAATATGAGAATGTGGTCTTCTGAAAAACCAGATAACTTTTTTGTCGAGGGCCCTCTACACGCTCAAAAAATTGGAGTTTGGTGTGCTCTCAATCGAAGGAGGATTTATGGACCTATTTTTTTTAATGGTACTCTTACTGCGCAAAGGTATAGAGAAGAAATTATCGCTCCTTTTGTTAACCAGCTGGAAGAAAACGAAATTACAAACTTTTACTTTCAACAAGATGGCGCAAGGGCACATACGGCAGGCGAGACGATGAATATGTTGAGGGAAGTTTTCCAAAATCGACTAATAAGTCTCAATGCTGAACATGAATTTCCACCGAGGTCATGTGATATTACGCCGTGTGATTTCTTTTTGTGGCCTTACCTTAAAAACACTATTTTTGAACTGCCTATTCCTGATTTAAACCATCTGCAGGCTCGACTTATAGACAAGATTCGTGAAATTAACAATACCCCGAGCATCTTAGAAAATGTCTTTAATTCTTTGAGGAACAGGTGTGAAAAGTGCTTGGAACAAGGAGGGGGACACTTTCAGCAGCTGCTTTAATTTATTGTTATAACAAGGAGGGGGACACTTTCCGCAGCTCCTTTAATTGTTTGTTATTGTTATCACGATTATTCTTTAAAATAAAGTTATATAGTCATTAACGTTATTGAAACTGACAGCTGCTATACAGCTCGTTGAGAAATGAGGTTAAGTTGGTCGCTATAAGCTACTCCCTACGTCCAATGTGTCAGAGCCAACTTCGACCACGTTTTTATTTGAACGCTCGTTATATGGTTTCCGATGAAAACTATCAGTTAATTATATATTTTTTTACGATTTAGACTAACCTCAAATCAAATAACTGCATCTAATAGTTACATTTGAATAGTAAATTGCTTGACTGCTAAATTAGCTAAAAATTTAGCAGGGATGAAATTCAATGAGATTAGATTAGTGATTTTAAGACTTTCGCGGTCTATGCCGTTATTTAAAGTACCATCATTTTTCGGGTTATGCCTTGGCTTATACAGATACAAAAACCGTTGCCGTTACTGTTCTCGGGCTAGGCTCTGTGAGGGCAGACTTGTTATAAAAACCCATAGATCCGCCCTAATGTTGATTTCGGTTCTTATTGTTAGTTCTAAGGCTACAACCGCTGCAGACCAATGACCCCCGTTCTTCATTGTCAGCATCTTCAGTGATAACTCTGCAAAATCCTGATCTCTCATAGAGGATCCCTCACCATATGGCTTACCATAAGAATAACAAGGACAGGACAATGGTTCCTAGCCAGTGGTAAGGAAGTACAATAAATGCATTATAAGTCTGTAACTGGCGACGACTGAGTACGTAGGCCACGACATAACAACACGGAGACTATGATACTTCTTTCAAATATGCAGTTCTTCGTGATTGATAACAGCGGCAGAAATTTCGTTGATACAGTGCTCAATTTCCTCCTTCCAGGCGTGGGTGGTCGTGGGCTTGTTAGCATAAACCTTGGACTTCAAAAAATTTCGAAGAAAACAGTCTAAAGGCGTTAATTCGCATGATCTGAATGGCCATTCCTAATCACCAAAACTGGAAATTACATGACCAGGAAATGACTCGTGCAGTAATTGAATTTTTACTCGGGCTGTATACCATGTGGCACCATCTTGTTGAAACCACGTCATATTTTGCTATTTAGGTACAAAAATCAGGACCATCATGATAACGATCACCATTAAGTGTCGCATTTTCGATGAAAAATTATTCTTCGGATATCTTCGGAACTATTCGAAATTTTCTAAATTTAAAAACGAATCCGCGATGGCCATAAAATTCTGCACATTTTTGCCCATTTAACCATTTCTGTAACTCTTAAAATAAGAAATATACCTGTATTGGACAATTAAAAAGTTGTAACAAACGAAGTAGAAGGTAAGTATTGAATATTGACCGATCCATCAATGCATCTCTTATAGCGTTTTGCTCTTTTTAACAGGAATATTTAGAAACTTTGTTTCCTTTAGGATATATGTGATGCAAAAAGTTTAGACACTGCTTCCGTGAAACTTAGTTTCTATACTCGGTAGGCACCAATAGCTATTCAAGTTATGGAAGTTCTTGAGAGCCATTGTACAGAATCCTAACTTTAACATACATGCATTACGACAATGCCATTATCAAAACTCTATATACCTACATACAAATAAACATAAACATTTTTATTCAATATTCGAAATATTGTACGTATGAATTCACTATTAGATTAAAGGTGGCAGGACTATTTCTAAATAATTTTAAGAAAATTAAGGAAGATTAATTAATGTTTACTATTGGGCAGGTTTTACTGATAAATTCTTAATAAGTATACTGTGTTTGATTAAGGTAAAGTTAGACTACTTTACCTTATATGAGACCTATTTTGAAAAAAATTTTGAAACATTCACAAAAATAGAAACATTTCAAATATTAATAGTTTTACTGAATAGTCATGGTGTTTATTTAGACAAACAAATAATAAAAGTATATTCTTGCAACTCATTTTTGTTTAGAAAAAACAATAATAATAAAACACAAATAGTAACTGAAAAGAAATTGTCTGCTAATATGAGAACGTCGGCACATATATATTTCAAATAACAGTAAATTAACGACTTAAAATGCAAGATAATAAAATAAGTCGTTGTAAATTATTTTCTCTGTCTTTCTTTGCACATTGGGCATATAAAAACCACATCTTCTACACCACAGCCCTCATGAGCCCATCGCTAACTGTGCACTTAACCCACTGTTCATCTGTGTACAGGCTGTGCAAAAGAGACACTCATCATACTTCTCCTCGCCATCATCAAAAACAACTTCCATGTCACTTTCATAAGTCGAACTACCACTTCAAAACAAATCAACATTCTTCTTTTAATTTTTTATAATCATTAAACTTGAACTTGGAGAGGACGTAATCAAGGCTACACTTCCAGCACGTGCACTGGTTTTTTTATTTTCCTGGACGCGGTTTTGAAGCATTTTCAGTGTCACCGGAATCTTTTGAAGTTTCTGGACGTGGATGATTTGTAGCGTCTTCAGTGTCACTGAAATCTCCTAAAGTTCCTGGGCGTAGACGATTTGTAGAGCCTTCAGTGTCACTGGAATCTTTTGATGTTTCTAAACATGGACGACTTGAAGTCTCTTCAGTGATTGCAGGTCTCTCCTCAAGGCAGTATTGAACTAACTCATCCTCGACATATTTGCCTGGAATCCAAGTGTTCCAGAAACTATTTGCTCAGGAGAAAAAGCTTCGTTTTTAACATAATGTTCAAGGGACACAAAAATGTTTCACAGCTGTTTGTAGCCCATGACGTGCGTTATACCGCGTTTAGGAGAATTCGCCTGAAAAATTGTTCTATAAAATTATTGCTTTATAGGCTCTGATATACGACCTCTTTCATAATAGAAACCTAGAGGGTCACATATCTATTAAATAGTGGGTGAGTACGGAATTCTCTGTATGTTAGCTATTTGAGAATAATATTAGAAAACAAAATCAACACCACGTTGAAAACATAAATTTTTCAAATTGAACTAGTATAGAACTTATCGCCGTGAATTTGGTAGAACTTTAATTCAATTGGGTGCCATCTAGTAGACAGCAAATGTACTAGTAACTCCTACAACACGTTGCTAAAGACTCTTTCAGTGTGACGTCACATATTTAGGCAACCCGCAATAAATTGTCATAGTTGAAATTGTGCAGACCGAATCTGATCCTTGTGTATTATTTACATGGATACTATAA